AAAGATTAGAAAGAGCTTTCGGATCCTAAAAATAAGGCAGCAGGAAATTTTAGAACATGATCAAAAGGCTGGAAAACGAAGTAAAGGAAATCTTTCAGAAGGTGAAATAAAAGGAGTGAGAAAATGGGGGTTGGGGAAGGTAATAAAATTAAAATATCAATCCTACACTTTGACTAATAGGAAGTCCAGAAAGAAAGAAGACAGAAAATGGAGGAGAAAAAAATTATCAAAGAGGGCCTGCCCTGGTGGCCTAGTGGTTAAGTTCGGCACACCCTGCTTTGGCAGCCCGAGTTTGGTTCCCAGGCACAGACCTACACCACTGGTGTGTTAGTGGCCATGCTGTGGCAGCAGGTCATGTAAAAAAAGAAAAAAAGAGGAAGATTGGCAATGGATGTTAGCTCAGGGTGAATCTTCCTCAGCAAAAAAGAAAAATCAAAGGAAAAAACAGAACACTTTTCAGAACTGAAGGACAAGAATCCTCAGGTTGCAAAGCCATCAAGTATACAGCCCTTTGAGTGAAAAAAGACCCATGCAAAGGCACATTGTGAAATTCTGAAAGTGCATAGGGGAAAATATCCTAAAACCTTCCAAAGTAACACCATAGGTTACACAAAGTATTAGTAATCCAAATAAATATCTCAATAGCAATGCTGACATTTAGAAGCTAGTGGAGCAATAGTTTCAAAATTTTAATGGACAGTTAGATTTCAGTCCAGATTTCTGTACCCAAACTGTTAGTTAAGGGTGAAGACAAAGACATTTTTAGGAATGTAGGGATTCAAATGACATCTGGGGCATCAGTTCCTAGGAAATCAGTAGAGGATGTGCTCCAGCAAAATGAGGAAGAAACTGAGAAAGAAAAAACACCAGCCATAGACAGCAGTGGAGGGAGAACCTACAGAAAGCAGCCAGAGCAGATGGGAGCAAGGGTATAGAAAGCTCCAGAAATGATGTCTTCAGTAGAAAAAAATAGAACTAGTGTATTTAGGCACGTGAGATATTTATAAATAGGCATAAAATAGAGGTGCTGGAACATGTGGAATAAACTAGTGATGGGTTCATGTGCAACCAGACAGATGGAAAGAAAAAATTGAGGTCATGATTAACTCCAGGAAAAATAAAGGGTTATATAAAAAAAGAAGGCATGGTCATAGGGCATTACTTGACCCAGCATTGAGATATATTTACAAAGTTATAATAACACAAACACGGACTTGATTAATTAAAATTACATTATAACCATTTGGGGCATTAAGAAAGAAGATAGAAATGTGTATGGGAGTGCTGAGCCTTCATTTCCCATGGTAGGAAATGAAAAGATATCTAAAATTGATGAGTAAAGAAATAGTAGTAGAAACGTACCTTGCCAATAAGCGTTGCACAGTAGTATTTGGGTAACAGTTTTACACAAGACCCACAAGTGTTTATGGCCGGGCTCTGTACGTGCCCTCTCAGTGAAAAGCTAGGGCCCAGCCCTGTGGCTGTCAGGGACAGAGGCAAATAGTCCCCAGTCACTTTCCAGATACAGAGACCATCCCAGAAGCGGTCCCCCACACTTTTTCAGACACGGGAAATTGAATTGCTCTCTTCATTTACAGTCATGTATAAGGAGCAAAGTATTTTCTTTGAAACTGCTTTTCTCCCACATTGCTTCCATAAACTAAAGCAGGAGAAAAGAGAAGAGCAAACTGACATTCAAGCTACAGACTTTCTCACTGCACCCGTGTGTTCCCCCCTAATTATTGCCCTGTGCGGAGGATCTTTAAAAATGATCAGAAGACAAATGCATTTCTTCATGAGCTCTCCGTTCTGTTGTCATCATTTTTGGGGGGTAAGGGAAGGTTGTGCTGGATGTCCTGTTTCTTTCATCGATTTGCGACCACTGGAGAAATTATAGGGAACAAAGGAAGAAGAGCCTTAAATACAAATAAATTCCTTTTATACACGTTGAAAAACCACAGGACATGCTCCATTTTTTTAACACTCCAGGTGTGATCGGAGATTACATATCCACGCAGGTGAGTGGAGAGTTAATTAAAATTGTTGCTCCTACTCCCAGAAAGAAATGTCTTTTTGTGTGATAAGCAGGCTGGCTTTGGAGTGCTGTTTGTGCTTTTCTGTTCTCATTGGAGTGTCGCAGAAAAGCAGATCAAAGAGAGCCTTCCATCCACATAGATTTCCCACCACTTTTCTTAGCTAATGGACTTGAAAGCCTGTTCCAGTGGCTGCATGGGGCTTATGTCATATTTTAGAAATGTCATCTTCTTACTGTATTGATAATAGACAAACCGGCTTTGATAGATGCTGATGGAAAACCACGCTCCACATTAATTAAATCAAGACCAGCCCAAATAGTTGGAGTGGGAGAGTCTGGCAGCATGTAGCATCTCACCCCCTACCATTTGTGTTTTACTTTTCAACCCACCATGTGACGGCCAGATATTAACACTTGAGATGGAACCCTCGGCTCTCTCAAGCAGGGCTGTTTTGTTGTTGTGTTTCTCTTTTCCTTTTAGTCTTTATGGTTCTGCACCCTCTGGCTGACATACTCTACCCTGAGGGGAAAAACTGTTTGGGAAAAATCCCGCTGTCTTTCTCTTTAAGATGGTGACAAAACGAAATAAAACAGAGCAAAATAGAGGCAGCCCGTGCGAGGCCCGTCTGAGCAGCAGGTCAGGCTGCCGCGGGTTGTCCATTGTCTTGCGGCTCAGGGTGCCCGTGGAGAAAGAGACCGGGGAGAAATCCTGGCCGGGGCACAGCCACCAATAAAAGGACTCCATTCTGCCACTCAGGGCTTTGTGAGGCCCCAAAGCTGGTCCTGGTTGCCATGGCTACTGTCTGATTGTGCTGGGTTTGTCACCGCTCTTGATAAAGTGGGAAGGTTACTCTTGATAGGCCCAAGTAATCAGAACCTCGCCAAGCTGGAGAGTGTGGATTTAACATATTTTCCCTCCTCTCTTGAAACCAGGACTGCAAGCATGGGGGCAGGGGTTCTCAGGATAAAGCAGCCACAACAGGTGGTGAGGGGCATGCCCAGCATGAGGGATACTGGCTGTACTGGTCTGGAAGGGAGGTTTCATGGGGCCAGGGGCCTGGGCAGAAAGAGCAGGGTCCCTGGGTCATCTGCTGCCAGCTCTGGCCTGAGTGGGGCTTCAGGCATGGGGCCAGAATGGGGTCCCCTCCTATCCCCCGCCCATAGATTGGTTATACTTGTACCCTCTCTCCTTTCCTCCTTCCCTTCCTGCTCCCCTCTTCATTAACCTCCCTCCTTCCCTCCGTCTCCCGGGCTCCCCTCCATCCCTCCGCTGCACAGTGTCCTAACAGAGCTGATCCTTTCACAGTCTCTCTACTTTTTCTGCTCACCTGGAGAGTGATGGGAAAGGTTTGATTTGAGGTAACAGCTGATGGATTCTGGCTACAGAACTGCAGACACTGAGCTGCATCAGAACTACTAGGAAGGCTCTTTAAGACACAGATTCCCAGGCCCCACCCCCAGAGTTTCTGATTCCACAGGTCTGGGGTGGGGTCCCAAGTATCTGCATTCCTAACAAGTTCCCGGGTGATACTGATGCTGCTGACTCGGGGGCCATGCTTGGAGAACCTCTGAAATCGTCCAAGGCTTATTTTATACAGCTGAGCAAACTGAGGCTCCTGAAGGATAAATTAGTCACCAGCAGTTCAGGCGACATGGTAGCCACACTGAGACAAGTGCTCAGTGACAGGAACTTTGTCATTTGAAGAGGCAGGCTGGTTGTTCCCTCGTCTCTCTTCCAGCACCCTAGCTCAGGGCAGCCAGATGAGCTGGTTCTATTCCCACAAGGCCTCCAGCAGGACAGCCACTCACCACCGATGGTCCTCTTCTGAGCAAGGCTGGTCCTGAGTTCAGCTCACCCTCCTCGGTGCTCCAGGCTCAGCGTGGTCTTCCATGTGTCCGTGCTGGAGTTATCCCTCTGGAATGCCCTTTCCCCAACTCTGCCTGTCCAATTTCTGCCCAGCCTTGAGCCCCAGGACACCTGCTTTGACCACGGCCAGCATCCTTCCTCTTCTGCTGACCTTCGAAGCCTCGTGGCCCTGCCACTGGGCCATTTTGTATTTCAGTTTCTTGCATGTTTGTGCTCTTGCCTCTGCTGGACTGTGAGCTCCAGCGGCAGGACCTGCTGTCATTCATCTTTGCACCCACCATGGCTCCGAGACACCAGCTGAACAAATCCGCACGGCCGCCTCCTTTGGAAGGAATCTGGACACATGTTTGAGATGTTCCAAAGCCTTCCTCACAGAGATGGGAGCCCAGTGGACACAGGCGGGGGCGGGAGCTGTGCTTTCAATGTTAGTGAGGAGCCCAGAGTAAGAAATTAGGCCGGCTGCAGGGAGAAAGCGTGACCTGGAACCCAGTGCGGGGGCCTCAGGTTAGGGTTCGCTCCCTGTGGGAGCAGGGCTGAGTTGTTAAATTGAAAGGCAGTGTTACCTACCCACGATGATATGAAATAAAACACAGCAGTGTTCATTTACCCCTTAATGGCAGGACGGTAACACAAATGGTATGTGTATGGGGTGTATGTGTGTGTGTGTTGCTGCTGTGGCTGGATGCAAACGACTTGATCAACTGTCAGATGTAATCTAACTCCCCACGACGCGCTCCAGAATCACCTGGAGCAGCGTGCCTTGTCATATGGCCCAAATACGTCTTTGAGGCACGGTGATCGTGCTTCTTCAGTGAAATGCACAAGAGGCTATTCATCCAGACAAGAAGAAAACAAAACTGATGAATTAGTCCTATGGCTCTAAATCCTTGCCCACTGCACAGACTGAGTGGGGGCCCAGAGAGAAATCCCGTACTGGCAGTTGGGTTCCGAACTCTTGAAGCCTTGCGGAGCTGGGCCTCCAGGCTGCAGGGCGCCCGCCCCTTTCTGCTTTGTTGAGTAAGCAGATTGAGCATCCCCTCCAGTCACTCAGGTGACGGCTTAGGCAGCAGCAGCCCTCACAGTGGCCTTTCTCCCCAGGGCGTCGAGGTGCAGACAGACTACGTGCCCCTGCTGAACTCTCTGGCGGCCTATGGCTGGCAGCTCACCTGTGTGCTACCAACTCCTGTTGTCAAGACGACCAGGTAACAATAACCGCCATTATTATTATTATTATTGAACACTTACTCTGCTAGGCACTGTTCCCAATGAGCACTTCATGTACATCACTTATCTAATCTTTGTGACAAGGCTGTGAGGCTGGTGTGGTTACATAAACTCTCCAACAGAGAAGTGGCAGAGCCAGGACTTCAGATTCTTAGCCACCCCTCCAGGAGCACTCCCTGCACCCCTTTTCCCACGTGGGGAACCTTGGTCAGTGAGTCATTACTGCCCAGCATGGCGAAGATAAGCCACATGGGCTGAGGAGGCCCAGGGCTCTCAGATGCAAAAGACAGTCAGCACCTACTGTGTGCCCTGTGCTGGACGGGGTAGGCACGTTGCATGTAAAAATCCCATTGAGTCCTCAAAAAATCCTATGAGCTGGGACTTTTTTTATTTAACCCATTTTACAGCTGAGGAAAGTGTGGCCAGGGGGGTTGAAGGACTTGCCTAAGATCGTGGCGCTGGTCAGCAGCCCCACAAAGGGGATGTGAAGACCTGGATTTTGGCCCTTGCTTGTGGTACTCCTGATAATGTCACATTCATTTATCCATCCTCGGCTCTACCCTCCATCCCTTGAGCCCATGGGCTTATCCCAGCCATACCAACCCTAAAAGGCCTTCCATCTGTATTTTGGGTTTGCTATCTAAACTAGTCCTGCTAACTCTCCTGTGGGATTGTAAGTATAGATATGATTCCCATTTTATAGATAAGGAAACTGAGGCTCAGAGAGGCTTGATCATGTACCTGAGGCCACACAGCCAATATGTGGCAGACCCTGGGACTAGAACCTCAGTCTGCAGTGTCAGGCATTCCTTCTCCTACACCAGGCCACCTCTTTGCTGACCTACAGGGATGCCCCACCTCATGGCCCTCAGTGTGCCACCTTCCCCCAGTCCGGCTGCATACTCACCGTTGCAGGATGATGGACAGCATGAGGCAAGGGTGGTGATCTGAGGGGACAAAAGGAGGTATAACCCCAGAGCCCAGACTGAGGTTGGAGAATAATGGCGACAATCAGTGCCTTTCCTGGGTCCCTCCGCAAGCAGGTCTGGGCCCTCAACATGTCTCCCTCCTGACACTGGGGCACGGTGGGTCCGTGCACCTGCAAGAGCCAGTCTGCAGTCCCCTTTAGACCCTTGGCCACTGGGAGCTGCCATATTGTTTCTCTGCCAAGGCTTCTTTGGGCAAAAGGCGATGCAGCCAAGTGGAAAGAACCCTGGATTTGTGGCCTGAAGTCTTGAACCCAAGTCCTGAGTCTGCCACTTGCAAACAGTCCACCTTGGCCAAGTCATGAGGTTCTTTGAGTCAGTTTCCTTCCATAAGATGGAAGAACGCTTCCCCACCATCCATTCCAGAGGACAAGAATCAGGATGAGAATGTATTTGAACGTGAAGCCCCAGCTAGTTCTGAGCTAAACCCACAGGGTGCAGACAGGTCTCTGTCTCCTCTGTCTGAGATAGTCACACCTGCTAAATAATTCTCCCCAATCCTCCACTTCCTGTGCCTTAAGTGACCCCTCGGGGTGGAGTGGAGAGTGCATGGAGCCAGGCAGATCCGAGCCTGAATCCTTGCTGTGTGATCTCAAGCCTGCTCCTTAACAGAGCTTTCATTTCCTGTCTGTCAAAGTGGTGGTCCCAGTCCTTGGAGCCCTGTGGTGAGGCTTAAATGAGCCATTGCGTGTGAAGTCACCCAGCCCAGCCCGGGAACCAAATAAGAAATGTTAGTCGTATCCCTCTGACACTCCATGCAGTGACACATTGCCTCGGCAGAGAAGACATTTGCAAAATAGAGATTTAAGAAAGTGATCAGAAGGGTGGAGGCAGGGGACAAAACAATATTTCTATCATCTTTAAAGACAGCTCCATAGGGTCCTGCCTTCCTGGGAGGAAAGTATACCCACTGTGCCATAAATATGAGTGGTGCTCCTGAGCTCCCCCTCGCCCGCTTTGTTAATGCCAGTCCCTGCCTGGATGCCTGCCCTTCATCTGTGCACCTGCAGGGGCCATGTGGCCCTGCTGCTCAGTGAAGGTGAATCAGGCAGGTGGCTGGGACCCTGTGCACAGCCAGGCCCTCTGCCCGCTGTTCTCTGACGGCTGATGGCCAGAGCTCATCACCCAGGTCCTCATCTACGCACCCGTCCTGGGCCAACCAGGCCCCTCCGTGGCCTCATTACCAAAGACAGACTGGGAACAGGCCTCCCACCCTTTGAGATTCACTGAAGAAGCCAGTTTGTCATCATTTGGCGAAGACGCTAGCTGTTATTTCATATCAAGGGAAGAGAATTTTCCAGCTACGAAGCTAACTTTGCAAAGATGCCCACAGAGCTTATGTTGGGCCTCTGAGTAGCCCCCTGGAAGCAAGGGTGGGGGCCCTGGGGTGGGAGGGGGGCTTCTTGACTTCTGACCTCTCACTGCTGGTGGCAGCCCTTCCTTTCTGTGGGTGGTTAGCCTGCAAAGTTAGGGTTGGCAGCATCTGGGCGAGGTTTGGGGTTCCCCCAGGTATAACGTAACTCATTCTCAGCTCCCTGTGTGTTACAGGGAGGGGAATGTGTCCACCAAGCAGATTGTCTTTCTTCAGAGACCGTGTCTACCTCAGAAAATGAAGAAGAAGGAATCAAAGGTAAGGGACCCCGGCCGCATTCCTCGGTTTTCCTTAGGGGACACCATCCTCAAGGGGAGTTTCTACAGCAGCTGGGTGGGCCGCCTGCTCCCACCTCCAAGGGCCTTCAGAGCCCTTGGAGCACCTGAGCCCCTTGGCAAAATGGTCACGCCTGCAGCTGTCCAAATAGGAGAGGTGAGGGCGCTGGAGGCCTGTCTGCCAGTCTCCTGCCAGTCAGGCCAGGGGAGCGGAGGAGAGAGGGTCTTCTAGACACCCAGCATGCCAGATGCTCCCACTAGGTAAACACGGGGTGTAAGTCAGCTCAGCCTGACGGGTGCGGTGGCTGGAGCTCGCGCCCAGCTTCTCTGTTTCTTAACCTCATCACAAGCTGGCTGGAGCTGTGGCCTGCCCCGTAGGATCCCGAGGGACATCAGAATTTGGTGATCTTGGCAGAGAGAACCTGCTGGACCCCCTTTGGACAGGCCCTGACCCGCGGGCCTCTGAGTGACAGCAGCTGGTGTAGGCAGAGGCCAGCCTTAGCCTGTGGCGGTGAGTCCTCAGGCCAGGCTGTCCTGGGACCACCAGGGGACTTTCTCCCCTCACTGGACGTCACATGAACCGTCCTGGAAACACAGTCCACTGAGAGACTGGCCATTCTCAGAACTGTTCCCGTGTTTCCTGAAGTGGAGCCCAGGTCCTCCTTGTGTCCAATGACTCTTGTGTCTGCAGCCTCACACCCCATGCTGTGCAGCCGGCAGGTGCTTTTCCTGGGGGGGGTTCACCAGTTGCTCAGGAAGAAACCAGTGAGTTGAGGGAACCTGCCAAAGCCTGAGTCAGGTCACCTGGAGCCAGCTCGTTCCCCCTTTGATGGCCAAGGCCACGCCCTCTGGCAGAACCTTCTGGACCTGCCCCTCTCCTCATGCTGGCACCGTCCCACGCTCCCCACTCTTGGTTTCTCGTCATCTTTGGACACAGAGCCCAGACGGGAGCAGCCAGCAAGTGAACAGATTGGAGCAGCCCCTTGCCAGCCAACAAATCCAGGGGGGGCCCATGCATGAGAGGAACGCCAGGGAAATGGCAACCTGAAGCCAGATGGGGCAGAGTGCAGGGGAAGGTCTCTCTCCAAGCTCTGAGATGCTAATGTGACAGGTGACAGCAGCAGAGGACCAGAAGGCAACTGCCAAATCCGCCATTAACCACCAGGAGCAGTCAGCCACCGGCTGGAAGATGGATTGGCCCTGGACTGCCGTCAGTTACAGCTTAGCCATAGGCCCACAGGGACAGCATGCAGTCACAGAGTGACATTCAACAACAGCGCACGTGAGGTCTCTATCAGATGCCAAAAGAAGCCCTGCTTCTGCCTTTAAGAGAGGGAGGTGGTGCTGCCTTTTCTTGCTGGCTCTTCCTGGTTTTGGCGCTGGCAGATCCCGAAGGAGAGACACGTGGTTTGATTTTGGTAAAGGCCATGCATCTCACAGAGGGGTACAAGCCGGTGGAAACTCCAGCGGGCAGAGACATTTTAGAGGCAGCGTTTTAAAGCTGCTGGAAGAAGGTAGAATTACTTGCCTCAGGGAAAATCCAGAGAGGATGGGAGTTATTTCCAACCCTAATCAGCTGTACCAATATGGGTTGACTGCTTTCTCTTTTAAAGTACTTACTTATGCCCTGCCCATTCCAAGCATTGGCGGGTGTCAAGCGCTTGTTCTCCACGAGATTCTCTAAGTCACCTCACTGGTGGAGTCTCAAAGAGGGGACTTTCCAGCCAGATGTCTTCTCTCCATCTCATCGTCCCCACCATCCACTCCTCAGGGGACTTGGGTCAGCATCCTGCTCCCCCGAGGTCTGTGTACCCCCATGACCATGGTAGTGACGCCATCTGGTCCTCACTGCGCGTGGGCTCCCCGCAGCACTGACACTGTCAGCCACTCCCCACCTCTGGAAGCACCTTTTCCTCTTGGCACTGTCCCACCACTCTCCTGGTTTTCCACCAGGTTCCTCGGGGTTCAGATCCAGCCCCATTTCTCTTCTCACTCTTACCTCCTCCTTAGAAAATCTCCATTTGGGGCCAGCCGGCTGGCGGAGTGGTTGAGTTTGCTCACTCCGCTTCCGTGGCCTGGGGTTTGCCAGTTCAGATCCTGGGCACGGACCTAGCACCGCTTATCAAGACACTCTGTGGCAGCATCCCACATACAAAATAAAGGAAGACTGGCATAGATGTTAGCTCAGGGCCAATCTTCCTCAGCAAAAAGAGGAGGATTGGTGGCAGATGTTAGCTCAGGGTTAATCTTCCTGAAAAAAAAGAAAAATCTCATTCATCACCAGAGTGAGAAAGGCTTACTGTCCACCTCTGTGTCCATAACTCTTACATCTGCATTTCTGCCCTCACTTCTCCCCAGGGACCCCAGCTCCACCTGTGCTGTCACCACTCAGCAATCTCAGAGCAACTCAAGACTTTGGCCCTCCCCCACACCTGACCCACCTCCTCCTACCTAGAGGAATGGCCTGCCTCCCCACACCTAGAGTAATGGCCCGCCTCCCCCACCTAGAGGCATGGCCCGTCTCCCCCACCTAGAGGCATGGCCCGCCTCCCCCACCTAGAGGCATGGCCCGTCTCCCCCACCTAGAGTAATGGCCCGCCTCCCCCACCTAGAGGCATGGCCCGTCTCCCCCACCTAGAGGCATGGCCCGCCTCCCCCACCTAGAGGCATGGCCCGTCTCCCCCACCTAGAGTAATGGCCCGCCTCCCCCACCTAGAGGCATGGCCCATCTCCCCCACCTAGAGGCATGGCCTACCATGGGCTCAGAGGCACCCACCCGCCCATGCACAGGGCATCCTTGCATCACCATGTCCACCCCATTCCCCGCCCCCCAGTATTCAGTCTGTCCTAAGACATGTCTATTTTAGGTCCTAGAAACTGGAACCCCTTCACCTCTCCCTGTCGCCCACCTTGACTACTCTAATCCTCTGCGCACAAGTCCCCTTCAGACATGGGCTCCACTCAGAGCCAACATGATCTTTTAAAAAAACAAATTGAATCATGTCACCCCACTGCTTAAAACACTGTCTGAAGCTTCCTGTTGTTCTTAAAGATGGAATCCCTTGCCGTAGCCCCGTGTGATCAGCCCCATTTTCCGCACTTCAGCACCTTTGGCCTTCATGCTCTTCTGAGTCCCTCCCTGCCCCAGGGCATTGGCCTTGGCTGTTCCCTCTGCCTAGGACACTCTCTTCCTTTGTATTTTCTCAGGACAGGTTCTCTCCCGCCAGACTCGGCCGGGCTCCTTAGTGGTACGCTGGGAAGAACCATGTTCCTCTCTTTCGGACTGTCCTCTAGGTCTCTAATTCTTTGTGATCATCAGCTTATCCTCTACCGGTAGAATCAGACATTAACTCTCTTGGAGCAAAGCTTTTTTTCTACCTGTTGTATGCCCAGTACCTGGCTTTTAGTTGATACTCAACAAATATTTGTTGAATCAATGAGCAAGTAATCCAAATTCTGAGCCCAGGACCTATGTATTAAGTCTAGCACTGACATTTAAGTAAAGAGATCGCAGGATTGGCACTCCAAGGACATAGTGTATTAGTCCTCGTTAATCAGCAAAATGGACAAAATTCTCCCATCAAGACTTTTCAAGGAAACTTCTCTGTGCGTAGGTGAGTGTGGCTTTCAAAGCAAATAGCGAGCTCCTTCGAAGGGAGCAGGTGATTTGTACGGCACCAGAGAAGTCCTCCTTCCGACTAAACCAGTTGAAGTGGAGGCAGATGACGGACAGTTTTTAAAATGTGTGAATTAAATCCATTAGCCCCTGCTGACGTGGACTCAGGACCCACACCGCTGTAAAGGGAAGCAGTTTTTTTCCTTTCCGCCCGTATTTCTGACACGGACGGCTGGTTGGACTCTTTCTTGGTTTAGGCACCGAGGCACACCCGGTGCCCCGGACACCCTGCTTGTTTGATGAGTTTAGTGACTCCCTCTGGGACCACTCAAAACATGGAATGTGTGCTCCGGGCTGGACCGCCTGCCTCACTGTGTGCATGTAAAGCTGTCACTGTCCCGGGGCTGCCGCATCCCCCCGCTCCTCTTCTTGCTTTCTAAGAAGTCAGCTTTTTGAGCCTTGGGATCTGGAGCAATTTTTGTTAAAGACCATGACTGTCCCCAGCTTTAGCAGGAAGAGAAGCCTGGGAGGGGACGGCAGCAGCTGTGAGGATGGAAGGCCGGGGGCTGGAGGAAGCCTTTCCGTGGAGGGCAGAGCTGGCGGCTGTGGGAGGGCAGGCGTGGGGGCTGTTTTTCTTAGCTCAGTGGTTCTCAGACTGTGGTCCATGGGCCAGCAGTGTCAGCCTCACCTGGGAGCTTGTTAAAAGTGCAAAGTCTCTGAGTCAGAAACTCTGGGCCCTGGGGGAGTGAGTGGGTAGGAGGCGCCTTCCAGTTACTCCTGATGCCCACTCCAGTCTGAGAGCCAGTGTCTTAGTGGAATGGTTTAGGGCCCTTCCCAGGCTCACCTGTGCACCACCATTCACATTTTATCATCATTGATTTTCTTTTTTAAATGGGCCTGTCAGGGAGCCTTCAGTGTGGATGTGTTTTTAATAAACCAAAAAAAGTATCTTTAATGGCAGTTAAATCTGGATTTCCATTAGCTGACCCCTTGGCCTAATGAGTCAGGCACCTGACCTAGCAGACACAACTTAGATCATACTGCTGAAAGCTGAGGCACCTTGATGAGGTGCTGAGCCATGCAAAGGTGTGTGGCCTCTCCCTTCCTTCCTCCCCTCCCTTCCCTCTAGGGCAAGAGTCTCAAGCCTTTCACTCACCAAGAATGAGAGGCTGGAAGGGTAATGTGGAGCCAGAGACACCTGTGTTTGAATTCCAGTTCTGCTCTTTTCTAGCTGTGTGACTTTGGTCAAGTAACTTAACCTCTCTGCACATCTATGTGCTGATCTATAAAATGGTGCTAGCAGTGCCTAGTGAGAGTGCTGCTTTGGAGATTCAAGGAAATGGGAACCCTAGTCACAGTGTGGGACACCCAACAGGCACCTGGCCAGGTGCTTGTTGTTCCCTTGGCAAGTACCCTACAGTCTGCCTTTGAAACTCGGAACGCTTAGCTTTAGATTATACAGACCACGAGTTTGAGCCATTGTTACTTCCCTGCTTCACAAGAACGCCCCGCAAAGGAGAGGAGGAGGAAAAGGGAAGACGGAAGTCAGAGCGCCCTTGGGACCTGGCTGCAGTACCCAAGACAGCTGTGGCGGGACGGGGGCCCAGGCAGCACAGGGAGTCCATGATGTCACCACAGCCCATCTGAGGACACAGAGAACGGTGCAGTCCCAGAAGGCCTGGGGGTGGCAGGTCTTCCTATGAGGGCTCTGAAGGACGGAAGACCTTGGCTGCAATAGTTCCCACCCCGCTCAGGGCTGACAGCCCAAATCCTCTCTGCCCAGCAGCCCGGGCAGGGTCCTGGGGAAGGTGGCTGGCATGCCTGCCACAGGCCTCTTCCACGGGCTGCGTCCTCCTGGCGCATTGTACCAGGAAATCAACAAATGTGATCTTCTACAGGAAGCTGGATATGGCCAGCATCCAGAGGAACTACGGAAGTCCTGTTGTTTATTTAGCAAGAGCCTCCCTGAGGGAAGATCTGGGTTTGCGTTAGAAAATAACAAGCGTGGAGGTGGGAAACTGGTGCAGGTGGAATTGTCACAGTTGTGTGCCGCCCAACTGCAGAGGGCGCTGTTCATATCACTATAGTGCGAGTGGGCCCCAGAGGCACACCGCGGCTTGGGGGCAGGGACTGCAGTTTTAGAGACGAGGACTTTGAGTCTAGGAGAGATTAATAACTACTTGCCCAAGGACACACAGCTAACGAGAGCCAGAACCGGGATTTGAACCGGGGTCTTAGCCGCCATGCCAGGATGCTTTGACGTTTTAGCATTTAGGGCTTTTCAGCTGAAGCAATCACTTTTTTGGCAAAAGTAAAACTTCCTCCAACTTCTCTGATGGTTTCCCTAACTGCTTCTCAGAGTACTGTAATAGGCAGGCTTAACCGGCCTTTTTCTAAAAACATGCAAAATACAGAGGCTCTGACTGTTTGGGGTGGGGACATCGATAAAAAAAGAGAAAGGCTCCTCCATTTGGGCTGGACTTAAAGGCAGCGGTAGCTGCATATGACGAGGCAGCAGTTATGCTCCATGGTCGCGAGGTGCCCACAAGCCGTGGAGGGTTGGCGTCAGAGGCGGCAGCAGTGGCGCTGAGGTCGGAAGTCAGCATCCTGTAACCGGTGGTTACAGGGCCTCGAGATGCCTGCCTGGCAGTCTCTGCTGAAGGGGGCACCTTTGGGCCGGGGGTCTGAGGCACCAGCTCCCTGGAGAGGGATCCCATTGCTGGAACTCGTGGCTTGTGTGGAAGCAGCTCAGAGTATCCCCAGAGGGAAGGCCGTCAGCTGTGCTACAAGAGAATCCGTAAACAGGAGTCCACCCAACTTCTTCAGGGATTTGCGGAGAGGGCAGGGTGGAGGAAGGCAGGAAGGCAGGATAAATGTTAAATCTTAACCTCAGCATGTCCCTCACTCCTTCTTCTCTACTTTGATGGATTGGTCACTGTTACCAGTCTTGTCCACGAGATGTTAAATCCGAGACTCACATGTTTGTGAAATCTCAGAACGCTGTGAGTGTTTAGGCAAATGTTTTGAGGAAACAGATCTCTACTACTGAGAAATCTGCAGAGGTAGCAGATTTTAAAAAATTCACATAGCACATTTTTGGGTTTTCCTAGCAAAGCACTCAATTATTTCCGATGTGGTAAAGCCTTAAGAAATCGTCTTCCACCGACGGTGCCGCTGCATTCCTGGGCTCCCCTCTCCAGCTTAGCAAGAAGTCGGCAGAACTGAAGGCTTCCTTTATTTTTCTTTCAATCACAGAATGTCTAAGATTTAAGCCCATATTTGGTGAAACCAGTGTGGTGTGACTAAAGTAGAAGGAAATGACTATGGTGGGAATTTAAACTAAACCCCCGTGTATCCTGCAGGTCACTGAGCTGCACCTGCAGGGCAGCGAAGTCGCCTGCCCAGGGTCTCGAGCCACGATCCTCTTCTTCCCAGAGAGACCACTCCCTCCAGCTGGGGGTCCCGACTCTGGCCCTTGCCCACCCAGCTATCTCTCCTCTGAGGGTTTCTCTCTTTTTCTTTGTGCCTTTCACAACCGGTCCTGGCACACCCTGAAGAGTTTGTGGCTGCCATCTTCCCCGGTGCACACTGCACAGCTCTGTGCCGTCTGACTCTGTGAGCACTGAGGACACAAGCCCCACTCAGAGTGGACTGGCCCCCCTCTGAGGTAGAGGCCATCCTGAGGATCCTGACCCCCCAGGATGACAGAAGTCATCGGGGCCTTGCTCAGAAAGATTGGGGGGACCCTTTCTGTTTGGGGTGTGGAAGAGGAGGCTGCAGTCCTTGCTGAGCTGTTAGCCCTCAAAACACATTCCTCTTTTATAAACACAGCGACCCATTTCTCTGAGTCTTCCAAGGTGTTCTCTTTAACACCCTTCTTCCTGCTTCCCTGTCTGCTCAAGCTCATTCGCCCAGATTTGTTCCAGGTGCACAGACTCTCAAACTCTCTTCCTCTGGGGCAGTTCACGTAGTCAGCAGACTCAGCAGGACTTTACATATTTTCCCCTCTTTTCTTCCTCAAATTAGTTTCTCTTTTTGGAGATCAGCCAGACCTGATGTCTTCTGGATGCACCAGTGCCTCCTCACTGAAACCCGAGCTATGTTTTGACTCTGAAATTACAGGACTGTTTCATCCTGAAATGCAGTGTAGCCGGCTCAGCTGGGCACTCTCGTCCTTCCACTCACTCATCCCACAGATGGTTTTTGAGTGCCCACTCTGTGCCGAATCCCAGGGAGACAGGAGTAAGTAGGACAGACGGCATCCCTGACCTTGTGGAACTTAGATCAGGTGTCAGTAACGGTAACAGCACGTCTGGTACTTAGGTGCCAGGCACAGTGCTACGCCCATCACTTAGACTATGTCATCATTGAATGCACATAATACCCTCTAAGGCGGGACTTGGCAGACTGCAGCTCCTGCGCCAAACCCAGTCCACCACCCGTTTTTGTAGATAAAGTTTTATTGGCACACGGTCACGCTCACTCGTTTCATGGCATCATCTGTGATGGCTTTTGTGCCACAACGGTAGAGCAGCGGAGACCAGATGGCCCACAAAGCCTAAAATATTTATCTGACTTTTACAGAAAAAGTTACGAACCTTGATTTTACAGAGAATCAAGTTGCTGACCTTGATTTAAGTTAGAGTTCCTGTCCCTGTTGTAGAGGTGAGAACAGGAGGTACGTGGCGGCGTTGGGACTCTTCACGCCGGCAGTCTCACTCCGCAGCGTCGATATGACCTACTTCTAGCCCAGTTCTGTCGCTGACTGCGCGACCGTGGTCTTCTCTGAGCCTTTGTGGACTTCCCTGTACCATGGGAAATGCTGGGTTGCGGGTCGGGCTCCCTGGGAAGCAGCGTCTGAGACGATTTGGATGGAGGAGGTTTTCCGGGGAAGTGCACTTGGGAACGACACCGGTAGGGAAAGAAGGGTGCAGAGTGGGCAGGGGGAGAGGTTGGGCTGTGAGGCAGTCCCAGAAGTGGCCTCACCAACCCTCCAGGTGGCTCCGGAGCTGGGACGGCCTTTTGGAGTTTCCTGAGTTGGCACAAGCAGGCTGGGCTGTTGGTTGGGCAGTCCTTGGTTGTAGGCTGCCCCAGGAAGGAGTGGGGCCTTTGGGGAGGTGGTGGGCCTCTCAGCCACAGCAGTCCCGCTCCGGGGCTGTGACCCCACCATCCTGCGGGCACATCTGCGCAGTGCAGCCCCATGCTCCGTGCCCCTCTGACTCAGGTAATCCGGGGAGACACTGCCTGTCCAGTGCCTGCTCATCCACAGCCGGCTCAGAGCGGAAGCGAGTAGCTAGCACCCCAGCACTGAGGAAAGGCAGGCCCGTCTCTTCTCCCATCCTGGTCCTCCAGATACCAGGATTCCAGGACTCCCCTTCCCAAGACTTTGGGAGGGGGCCAATGGGAAGAAATACCCTTCCACCCCTGCAAAGCCCTGAAATCCATGTCTAAAATCACACCGTGGAACCCGGCGAGCAGGCCCTGGCGGTGGGGCTGATGCGTTTGGGCTGTGATTCGGGTTTGGTGTCGGTCGTGTTCCAGGAGTCCTGGAATTGTGTGTCTTGCTCCGCGAAGTGACGTGGGTCTAACTGCCGACAACAATCAGCTCACAGAGACTGCATTTCTCTCTCCCCGTCCTCTCTGATTCCTAGTTTCAGTGGCGTTTCTCCCGAGAAGACATGCACACCAGGCAGATGAGGAAATCCAAAGGGAAGCTCAGCGCCAGAGACAAGCGACAAGCAGAAGAGAATGAGAAGAATTTAGAAGACCAGTTTTCCAGAGCTGACGACGTGGGAAACTGTGTGCTGGGTCTGCAGCAGGAGGATGGGGCCCCCGAGGAGATGAAGGTCCCCATCCAAGAGGTCACGGGAGAAGAGCCACATCCTGACAGCCGGCTCTGTGTGGGGGGTGAGGTGGTGCAGAACGGTCCTGCCAGCCACTGCAGGGCCCCGGAGGGGGGCTGCTGTGGGCAGTCTGGTCCCGATCCTGGAGAGGATGCCAGGGAGGGAGGTGCTGAGGAAGTGGCTGCAGAGCCTGCTACAGCAGAAGACAACTGAGTCTCGAGCAGTTGGCGCTGAAGCCTGGTGAGGTGGCAAACCTGGGGAACCCTGCCAGCCTCCAGGTTAAGGGCTGGTTTGCCCTGGTGTTGTGTGTTACCCTTTGGCTTGGCTTGACCTCTCCTTGTGAGCTCACCTGCGCCCTCCGAGGGCCGGGTCCCTGACAGTGTTGGTTTCTGCACATCCATTTGAAACGTGTCATATGCCCCAGTGTTAGAATGCAAGAGGGCAGGTTAATGCTTCTAGACCCGTGGGAGGGTCTGGACCATCCAGTGCCTGTGTCCACCCCCCAGGGCCTCCAGGGAGCATTGGGATAATTCCACGGGCCTCCCTGGCTACAAACCAAGGCTGTTGGTTCTTCATCCCCACACTCTGCTGCTTTCTGCAGCTACTTGGTGATTATAAGACCCCTGGAGCCCCCACAGCTGCCCTTCCCCACCTAAACTCCTCGGACCCTGCTGCTTTTGCAAAGAAAATGACGTTGGGGAGGGGAGGTGCCCCATCCTGGCTTTCCTCAAAGTATTCCCATAAAGACTGGTCCTCTGGAAATGAAGAGGTAATTCTGTTTGTGCCCCTGCTCTTGCAGAATGTACAAGAAAGTATTCTGTGTTAGTATTAATGCCAAAAACTTTTTTTAAAGATTTTGTATTCAGGACATCATATGAACACGCGTTCTTTCTGTCACTTCAGGGCAACCCGACTGGTTGGGAGCCCGTTCTGTGCTATTTTAACTGGTGTATCATTGGCCAGGTTGTTTCCTATGTCTGCTGTCATGTGCTTATGTTGTCGGGAGAGTATTGTGAAGGCTTTAAGTAGATGCCACTGGTAAACCTTGGAGAGAGAATGCCGAGTGTCTTGACCAAAACAACAGCCTGTCTCTTCTCTTTCTCATTTAGTTACTTAAAGCAATAAATCGTTGATGAGTTCAGTACGTTGTGAGTGTTGAGTATTTATCATGTCGCAATGAAAAGTCCTTTCCTACGTCCAGAGGACTCGACCCCATGTCCCACATTCGCTTTCCAGAAGTTTCTAACTCCTGGCAGCGTGACGATTTTGGGGAAGAACATGAAGCTCCTGTGGGAAACAGCAGGGCCAGCTGAGCACGCTCTGCTTTCTGGTCATTTGCACAAAGACAGAATGTGGGTTCAGGAGCCACCAGGGAACTCAGGGCACGGCTACCTCCCATGGCCGGGGTTGGTGGAGACAAATACCTTTTTAAAACAAATGAAAAGCCTGCATCCATTTCTAAGCATGTTTCCAGGCTTTTAAGTAAGTTAATTAACAAGGCAAATCTTTTCCCTGTTTGCTAGTTTGCTAAAATGAAAAACACATGTAATATATTTTCATAGGGCAGAATGGAAAACCCTTGTACAGCCACATTGCACAGTCGTTTTCCTCTTGATTTTTGAGCAAACTTCCTCCACCCTACCCCCAAAGCTTACTGGGAAAGTTTAAAGGCTCTGTTCAAAGAGAAGACAACTAGTTAAACATTACGTCTTTTGGGGCTGGCCCAGTGGCGTAGCCGTTAAGTTTGCGCACTCTGCTTTGGCGGCCTGGGGTTCACCAGTTTGGATCCTGGGTGTGGACCTACGCACCGCTTATCAAGCCACACTGTGGTGGCATCCCACATAGAAGAACTGGAATGACCTACAACTAGGATATACAACTATGTACTGGGGCTTTGGTGAGGGGAAAAAAAAGGAAGATTGGCAACAGAGGTTAGATCAGGGCCAATCTTCCTCAGCAAAAAGAGGAGGATTGGTGGAGGATGTTAACTCAGGGCTAATCTTCCTCAAAAATAAATAAATAAATATTACATTTTCTAAGTGCAGTAAGTCAGACAGAGAAAGACAATTACCATATGACTTCACTCGTATATGGAAGATAAACACATAAATACGGAGAACAGGTTGGTGGTTATCAGAGGGGAAGGGGACGGGGACGGAGGGAGGGCAAAAAGGGTAAACGGTACGTGTGTATGGTGACAGGTGGCAACTAGACATCTGGTGGGAAACATGATGCAGTCTCTACAGAGGCTGAAATATAACCATGTACTGCTGAAATTTATATAATGTTATAAAGCAACGTGACCTCAATAAAATGAATTTTTTAAAAATCACATAATTATCTTAATAGATGCAGAAAAGCGTTTGACAAATTCAACACCCATTCATTCATGATAAAAACTCTTAGTAAACTAGGAATAGTGGGGGGAAAATGACATTTTTCACAATTATACTCAGGAATATCTACACAGAGTTTTGATTTCATGAAAATATTATTTCTTAGCCCCATATCTTAGAGGATCACGACCTTTAAAAAATATGCTAGTTAGCACAAGCTAGGAGAAAAACAACGCTCACCTTTCACAGCTTTGAAAAGCATACGATTTTACCTTCAGGGGAACAGCCTTGCGTCATTCAGTGTTGGGTACGTTTTTGAATAATTAAATGACGTTTATGTTGGCTCAATTTGTTGTGGAAAAAAATTACAGGTGACTGTAGCTAATTTGAATTCCTCAGGGAGTTTGGCCCTAGCGCCAGGCTGACCAATAATTCCTGAAGGCCTTGTTTTTCCCCCAACTTCCTCACACCGCTGCTGCTGTCTGGCAGAAAATCAATCCACGGCAGGCAGTTCCCACATTGGCTGCACCTTAGAGGCACTGGGGGAACTTGAACATTTGTGGTGCCTGGGTCCCACCCCGGAGCATGTGAGTGGTTGCTCTGGGGCGTGGGCATTTGTAACCCCACCCTCCACTCCCAGGATTCTAAAGTGCAGCCAAGGGTGAGACCCACTGGCCACAGGGTCACTATGAATAGAACCACAGCTTGTTCCTTGTGGACTGAAATGCTTTTTACAGAAGGTAAATAACACAGCCCGTAAAACCCAGTCCCAGTATCCTGCATGTGTATTTCCAGTGGGCGGATTCCTGAAGGAAAGTTCTTTTCCTGTCATTGCCGATGGGTAAAAGGCCATCGTTGGCACGGACCAGGCCCCGTGACCAGTAGGAGCTGCAGGACTTGTAGCGTTGGCATGAGGAGGCTTGTGCCTGTGGCGGTTAGTCTTTGGGGCTGCAGCCATCACGGAGGGTCTGGAAAGAACGGAGAGTGCCCAGGGGTGAACAGGTGACTGCACTGGGGACCTAAGTGACTGCGATAGGCCCTGCTGCCACCACTGTGCAGCCCAGGGGTATTCTAAGGAGTCCAAAGCACCAGAGACATGGAGGCCAAGGCCAGCCTCAGGGAGGGAACAGAGAGACCGCCGTGGAAGGTTCTGCTAGTTCTTCAGCCCAGTCATTTGCCTGTGGAAGGAGGTTTTTAGAGGGAAAAAAAAGTATCTTCCAGGAACAGAAGAGATGTTCCCATGAAGCTGTGGCTGAATTCTGAGTCTCACTAGGAAAGTGTCTTCAGGACCCACTCTGCACCTCCGGAGGTTCAGGAGAGGGGGGTGGGTGGGGTTCCTATCACGCACAGGCCACTCCGGGAGGGGGAGGGATTCTTATCAAACCTGCTTAAAGAAATGCAGGTGTATTGTGTGGGGACTGGAATTGGCCACCCCAAGATATGTCTCTTTGGCATGATTATTTGAGGCTGGTTTCTTTGCAGACAGGAAAGCAACTGAAAAGTAGAACTTGCTTGCCCTTTGTTAGGAGACATTTACATTGTAAAGGAAATCTCTATCTAAAGGTGCCTCCCTCTCTGTACCAGGAAGAAGACAGGGGGTGACCTTCTCTCTAGAAACTCTTAATCAAGGCCAAAGGCAAGGACTTAAATCTGCATTTTGTTTACTGTACTTGTGTGGTACTCTCCCATGATCGACTCCCCCTCCACCCCCAACATCCTCCTTTGTCTTTAGATATTTAAGTGGTGGTTTCAGCCATTTTGGCGAGTTGCTCAGCTTGCCTGACTTCTCCCATGTATACATGTTATAAAGCTTTGTTTAATTTTCTCCTGCTATTCTGTCTCATGTGAATTTAATTCGTTCTCCTGCCAGACGAACCCACTTTGGATAGAGGAAATGTCCTCCTCCCCTGCAATTGCTCTCAAGTGCACATGGCCACATGGTCAAAGCGTGGACGTGGGAGGGCCTGAGCATACCTCTGTTAGTAAGGCGGGAAGACTGTTCCATCGTGGGCTCAGTGGAAAAGCCCAGCCAAGCTTTGGAATCGAACAGAGCTGGTTAGAACGCTAACTGCACAGAACCTACACGTGTAACCTCAGGTTAATTCCTTCCATCCCCAAGCATCAATCTCCTTATGTGGGAAATGGGGCTAAGGACACCCGCCTCCTGGGACTTTTGTGAGCGTTAATAAGATGTGCTAGAGCTTGGTCCGTGCTGAGGGCTCTCTATGTAGCTGTTCTTCATAATGCTGGCAGGTAACAGACGCAGCCGAGACTGTCCGTGCTCACCGATACCCAGGGGCTCCTGAACTTCCCAGGCCCTCTTGCAGTTTGGGGCCATGTGACTGGGTTCTGGCCCATGGGACATGAGCAGATGTGATGTAAGCCACTTCTGGGCCTCACCTTTGAAAAGAGCCCGTGCAACCCCAGCCCTCTCTTCATCTCCAACGCTCTTGTCATAGTTCAAGATGGACCATGACGTGAGGGATAAATAAACCTTTGCTATGTGCCACTGAGATGGAGGTTCATCTGCTGCGGAGGCAGAGCATATCCCATCCTGACTAACAGAAATACTGTAATAATGCTTATAAAATCTTTGTTAGTGGTTTATAAGTGACAAAACAGTCAACATCAGTTCAATCCTTGTCTGACTTTTTCAAATCTCCAAATTGATCATGTTATGTTATGCGATGGGACCAGCTTCATGACAACATCAGAAGGAGACATTCTAATTCCTTTCTTATGAAGCACATTTTATCAATACTCTAATCTAAACATAATAATTATGGCCTATTCTAAACCACAAAACATCTTTCAGAAGCAGCTCTCAGATGTAGCTGTGCTTATTAGTAGGAATATGTTGACCCGAAACCTGGGCTGGGCTGGCCACAGGGACTGCAGGGAGCAGCACAGTCTGGCTCTGTCCTGCCAGGGCTCACGGCCCGGAGCAGGCCATGGGCAGCAGTTGGGACTAGAAGTTGTGAAAGGACTGGTGAGGGGCGAAGGGGAAAGCAGGACCAGGGTGTGCAAGACAGCCTGGAGGCAGCCCAGCACCACCTCCCCAGGAGTCTCAGCGGCTCTGGTTGCCAGCAGCTCTCCCGGAAGTGCTGGGAGCTGCTGTGTGAGCCGTGCAGGGTGGGCCCTGGCCATTAGCACTCTGCCCGCTCAGTGACCTGCCCAAACGACCGAGGCAGCTTTCCAGGAGAGGCTGGGCTTCCTGTACCTGGCTCCGAGTTTGGAACAGGGAAGCACGTGAACTCTAGCTCTAAGGACAAGACCCAAAGAGCCTTTGGCTGGGAGTGCAAGGTGGCTGTTGCCAGAGGAGGAAGCAAAAGCGATGTTCACCACAGGTTCCTGTTGATAATGATCATTTCTGTGGCCAGACTAAGAAACTAACTCTGGCTACAGGCAGCTGGCTCTCTGAGCCTGGCAGGTGCTTGCTTCCCCAGCCGCTGCAGACGGTGTGGTGCGGCATTTCCCTCCAGCAGAGCAGCAGGCCGCGTGGGAGACCTGTGCATTTACGAGGGCTCGAGGGATCAGATGACTCACTGCAGACACAGAGTTTTTAATCCCGGCCCCACTGTGCTCGGTGCTGGGAAGACAGCAGTGGACGAGCCAGACCCAATCCCAGCTCCCTGGAGCTTACAACAGACACCAAGGAGCAGCACCAGTAGTAACTGTGAGAAGTGCCGTGGAGAAGTGCAGGATGCCGTGAAGGCATGGGACAGGGAGAGGTGACCTGGTTAGGGAAGGCTTCTCGGAGGAAGTCAGAGTTTAGGCCAAGACCTGAGGGATGTGGTCAGGTAAGCAG